TTTTGTGGCACCGTCTCTGGTACTTGAATCCCTTGATGCACCTCATGGTTTGAGCCACCGACACGTAGAAGATTAAGTGGGCTAAAGAGAGGAGCCCAATGGGGACCCAGCAGTGGCGGCACTGGAGGCTGGTAGACTGGGATTGGGCGAGGAAAACCAGGCCCAAAAAGAGGAAGAAGATCTGGAAGAGCTTCCATAACTCCTTTTTTTGGAGGTCTACTGCTCGTTTTTTTTCGAGGGTTTTCTCGAAGTGGAGCTGGATTATGGTGTTTAAGGCTTGGAGGGCTGTTTCTTTGGGGATTACATTGTGGTGCTGGTGGGAGGCGGTGCTGGTGGTGGTGGTAGCCTCGTAATCCGCCATTGAAGTGTGAGGATATAGAGGAGTCCGGAGTGATGGAGGTGTGGATTTGATTCGATATACTAGACAGATTTGTAAATGATATTATTTTGAAAGAAAATTTGCAAAAGAGGTCCCTGCATTATGACGATTTAATCGTGAATCTAATTTTTAAAACATTTGTATATCTACCAATTCTAACGCTGTGCCAAATAAAAAGTTTGTGGGCTTTTGCACTTTGGCTTGGGAGAATAATCGAGAAGACAAAATGGTTGGAAGCTTTAAGATTGACAAAGATTTTATTCGACAACAGTAATAACAACAGATTCAATGTATTGGATTTATGTTTCATTTTAATGCAATTCACAATCTTGAATTTCATATTAGTAGAAATATTAGCTATTTTCTCATCGATGATGCACATTTTTGTTTATCTCGATCACTGAACTTTCACTTGATAAATAATTTGCAGGTGCACATGCAACGAGAAATGGAGATTTCTTTTTCTTCTCTTTTATTTGTATTTAATATGAATATAAATTTGGACATTATAGTCCCCTTTTAATCAATAAGATATAAGTGTCCTTCCAACTAAATTTGAATTTTTCAATGACAACTTGGATAGAATGCTAAAAAAAAGGCTGGACAGTAATTTTCATAAATTTTACAAGTTAAAGGCCTCTGTTGCAATTTACTCTATTCCTACCGTTAGAGGGGCCAATGGTGAAATAAAAAGAGCTGGTGAAGTCAGGTGAGGTACAGTACTGCGTTTTTATTGCTCGAGTGACTTGATAATGAAAAGACAAAAATATACTTTCCTTTTCAAACTTAAGAGGATGTTTGCCTATGCTCAAGCAATTAAATTTACTTTTAAGTAAAATCTTTCTTTTTGATAAGTGAAATTGATTACTTTAACATGCATGTTATTAACCAAAAACCATATTTCTGCT